ACAGCGGGAAAATGTACGCATCCAAAATTGATGTTTACAAAAACGTCGTAACTCACACTTGGACACTGAATACAGGTAAGCACATACTGTAATCAACACTTTAAATGCTGACCGTTATCAAAAAGTGCTTCTACTACCTGTCTGACAAGAGAAGGTCTATCCAAACTCCAAATTACGCCGCACCTAGAAGCGGAGTAATTATAATGTGCACTGATCTTCTTTTGAATTTTTGGGTATGCGGAGACACTCAGAGTCTCGGAGTGTTTCTCTTCTATTGTTTAAATCGATATGTACGAAAGAGTGTCACTGCATATTAGAGATTCTTGATCGCTTTTCCAAGTAAGAACGAAAAGTTGAGTATAGTAACTTATAGTATGTGTAGATAAATCAATAAAGGTGATGATTTATTTGCAGAAACACGGGGTCACCAGGCATGCATGATCCTTAAAAGCCTCAAGCAAAGTCTTGGCTCAGTACATTACCGAGCCACGTAAATTGCATGTGTAGTAAGCACGCAAAGCATTAGAGCAAGCGCCCTTAAAAAACCTAAAAATAAGTAATATCAACAAGACAAAGACAGTAGTAATCATGACGTCATCCATAATTTCACACGCAAGATGCGACAGTTTATTTAATTAAGTGAAGCACTGAATCCAACTTAATTCAAGGTTACATATTTTTACACAGAATTAATGAACTCGATAGCCAATGCCTTTGTGGTTTGTGGAGTGATCTACTGTATTGATTCCAGTAGCGCCAAGACCACTACCATCAACTTTGCTTACGACACAAAGACAGGAAAACAGTGGAACCCCAACATACGGTACGAACGGGCGTACGGCGTCAGCTACATGGTGAACTACAACCCAAGAGAAAAAGTGCTGTACGCTTGGGACTACAGACTTCAAGTTACTCACTCTCTTACTTTTAGAACAAGTTCCAAGTAAATAGAGGAACTGACAAACACCAGAACGGGGAACATTGCTGATTGCTTTGCTATTTTGTAGACGATGCACTGAAAAAAAAGTTTAGTTCAGTACTTTTATTGGATGATTTCTTTAGTCATGAAGATCTAAACAACATTAACTATCTATTGAGATTATTTCGTTGACTTCAAATAGATCTTCGAAAATCTCAATGTGAATTACGGAAAGAACAAGACGCAGAGTTTCTAACTCTGTGAGAACTTATATCTCCCCTCTCCGGTAATATTCTTTCATGTTTTGAGAGAACGATTACGAAACGTAAGAGCTAAAATGACTACATATATTGTCTGAGAAAAAGGTGAATCATGAATAAGTCGGTATGACGGCCTGAGGGAGAACTCACTCTTCTTTAAATGAAACATCTGTATAACTTTGTAGGTGCCAAGGAAAATCAACTGAAATGATTATAATGCTTTTAGCGCTGAATGCTGAAATAAAATATGGGGGAAAATCTGTAATAAATTGTGGTCACACTTACTTGTGAACGAGTTCTGTTAATTGAACAGTCAGCGTAGTTAAAAAACTTTTATTGCTAAATGAAACTGTTAGCAAATTTCTACCAAAATTCTGGCAGTCTAGTTACGCGAACAACTATTTTAATCAAATATTAATTGATGGCATATTGTTCTCAAACTCATTAATAATTTATCAAGTTTAAACCAAGGCAATCATCACCAGACTTATAACATCTTCCACTGACAAACACTATTCACTTGACTCTGAAGATGACTTCCGCTCAGGTTGTCGAAACGT